AAGCACTGCCAGGAGTAACCCCTGAGCATCGCTGGGTGTGACCCAAAAAGCAAACAAACAAAAGTACATATTTTGAGATATTTGCAATCATACTACAATAAGAAATATCTGATTTTAAATGGTAACAAATTTAGGTATCTCTAATACTACTGTAGTTTGTCATACACATTTTATAGTTGAAAGAAATCTTTCAGCTAGAGATTGGTGAAAATAAAGTTCACAGAATCTTCTCAATTCTATCTATCCATGGACCCTCAGGGTTTTGGGGTGGGAGCGGGGAGGGGTCTAATAGCTCCAGGCGAAGAATTCATAAAGGCCAAAATGAGTATTTCTGTAAAATAATTTCAAGACTAGTTGGCAGCAACTATAGAAGAAAGTTAAAAATTAAACCATTTACAAAACTTCCGTCAAAATTTTCTGAGTTTCAGAGTAGCTTATTTATTATTAAGTTTTTGGTTTTTTGGGAGGTAGGGGGTCATATCCAATAGTGCTCAAGGATACTCCTGGCTCTGAGCTCAGGGATCACTCTTGGTAGGGCTCAGGAAACCATATGGGGTGCTAAAGATTGAATCCAGGTCAACCGCATGCAAAGCAAATGCTCTAACTGGTGGGCTATCACTTTGGCCCCAAGAGCAGCTTGTTTTTAACAAAAATTTTTAGAATAAGGTACAGTAGGTCATCAAGTAACATGTCTTGCTTAAAATAATCTTTGTTTTTTCCCCATCAGCATTATAGTGAAATACAATAAAACAAAATGTCATTATTTTAGGACCTGTTTCCAAGAATCCATAGATGACATTAAGTGAAGACAAATAGTACAGTGATTTTAGAGCTATTAAAAACTAGGAGAATAATTTACCCAATTTTCCAATATAATGTCCTACATTCAGTCTTGAAGTAAGCATTCTCTAAAAATAGGCAAATGATTTGGATTCCAGACCAAGGCTGTAGCTTGGTGGTACAGAAGTCAGGCTTCACACACATGAGACTCTGGATTCTACATCTGGCACCACAAAACATTTTTAAAAGGTTCAGATTAAAATACAATATTTCGGGGCTGGAGCTATAGCACAGTGAGTAGGGCGTTTGTCTTGCATGCGGCCAAACTGGGTTCGGTTCCCAGCATCCCACATGGTCCCCCAAACACCGACACCGCCAGGGGTAATTCCTGAATGCAGAGCCAGGAGTAACTCCTGGGCATTGCCAAGTGTGACCCAAAAATAAAAAATAAAAATAAAAAATAAAAATAAAATACAGTGTTTCATACCAAATGAAAAATGTAAACATGTCTATTTACAGTGACAATATTTAAGTGTTTAACAAGTGATTAGGTGTGGAATTAAATTAATGCTTGCCTAAACACTCAGCCTCTAACACAAGCTGGAAAAAATTTCAAAGCTTGGAGCCAAAGCAACAGACCAGCAAGTAGAGTAGACCCAAGTTCGATCCCTGGCACCCATATGATCCCTTAAGTCCGTCAGGGATAATTCCTGAGTGCATAGCCAAGAGTAACTCCTGAGCATCATCGAGTGTGACCTCAAAACAACAACAACAACAAAGCTTACAGCTTCACAAGATGCTTAATGATTTTATTAATAATCCCAAGATCTCATTTTATGCCAAGCTATTATTTCATAAATTCTGAATACTTTTTTTCTCAGTGGTGTGGGGCAGATGGGTCATACCTAGCTTACTCAGCGGATACTTCCAGATCTGTGCTTGTGGGTCACTCCTGCTAGTGATCAGGGGATCGTGCAGTGCCAGAACAGACAGAACTAAACCCAGGTATCCTTCCAGGCAAAGAATGCACTCAGTTCCTTGAATACTTAAGAAAAAAAATTAATTCATCCCAGGATAGCCTTCCTTGAGGATGAGAAAATTCTTACCACTAAAGCTGCTTTGTAGATGCCAATTTAAGAAATAGTTTGCAATCCCAGAAAACGATAAAATAAGTTTTATCGTTTATTCACACTACCAGATTTAACTGGTACTACATTAACTCCAGAATTAAAATTTAGCTAAAAACTCTGAAGACAGGTACATTATGTAACAATCATGAAGCTTCAAGAAACCAACATGTTTGAACATCTTCACATCTTCATTTACAACCTCATGAGTCAACACCCTTCCAATGAACAAGAGTTGATTCCACAATCTCGTAGGCAGATCAAACCAAGTAGTATTCATAATTTTAGTAGTTCTGAATACATGCATTTAGGATTCAAGTGTCTTGCAAAGTACAACTTTGAAAAATTCTGTATTTTTGCAAACTTCTTAAAAGTTTCTTTTAAATACACAGATTTGAAAAACACTAGCAATTTGGGTAGAAAAATATAAATGTTTTGCGTTTATACTTAGCTGCAAGTTTTAACATCAAAGGAAACAGGGAGGGGGAAAAATAGACACTATAATAGGTACACATAACTACCAGGAAGTCTAATATAATGTAGATTAGTTATATAAAATATAACTTAGCAAATAATTTTTCAAATTGTCATTTACAATGTTTATTTTTTTTTTTTTACTTTGGCTTTTGGGGTCACACCCAGCAATGCTCAGGGATTACTCCTGGCTCTGCAATCAAGAATTACTCCTAGTGGTGCTCGGGGACCATATGGGATGCCAGGGATCAAACCCAGGTCAGCCATGTGCAAGGCAAACCCACTGTTCTATGGCTCCAGCCCCCATTTATATGTTTAAAATCTGACAAGGTTTTAATAATAACAAGACTAGCACCATACTTTGGAGGTGCTCTAAAAACTATACTCACTGTATAATTTCTTGTTTGAAAACTATTTTGATGACACCCTCAGCTCTACTGGGCCAAGGACTGAGCGCTTGCTTTGTATGCAGGAGGCCTGGGTTCAATCCCCAGCATCAATGGAAAAGCCCTGGAGTGCTGCTGCCAGAAAAATAAAAAGAAAAGAAAAAAAAAATGGGGGTGGGAGTACTCCCAGTGATGCTCCAGGTTTTGCACTCAGGAATTACTCCTGGTGGTGCTTGAAGGACCATCTGGGATGCCAGGGATCAAACCCAGACCACCAAGTGCAAGGCAAGGCCCTACAAATCCAGTCCCCAAAAGAAAATAAATATTTGACTGTAAGACGATCTGTTTATACAAAAATAAGACTTCCATCTTAAAATTCTCTTTTTCTCATCCTCTTTTCAGCAATCCTACATAAAAATAATCCCATTGGAGTTTAAATCGTTAAAAATCTCTATATTCTTTTTTTAAAAAATTCTGTATTTTTGCAAACTGACATATATACTCTAAATTTCTATTATGGAAAATAAATATTTCACGCAATTAAGTCTTCAGAAAATCTTCATGTGAAAGTCATTTGCAGTTTCCTTGTTCTGTAAAAAGCCGTTAAATTTGCTCTGGGACGGAGTATAACTGGCTGAACACAAGTTTTGCAGGCAGAGCTCCAACTGTGAGATCCCAAACACACCAGGTGTAGTCCAAACCAAGCCCTCGAAAAAATTAAATTGTGGGGAGGGGTAGCTAGTACAGTGGGTAAGGTGCTGGCCTTGCATGCCGCAAACCCGGGTTCCTCCCTGACACCACATAAAGTACCCCCAGCCCCTCTAGGAGTGATCTCTGTACTCAGAGCCAGAAGTAAGCCCTGAGCACCACTGAGTGTGGCATCAAAACAAAACAAATTCTAGGTCAGGTTTGATCCTGAGCACCACGAAAAAAATAGGAATTAAACCCTATAATGCTCTTGGGAGCTATCTCCTATTTGAACCTTCTTTCCAACGAAAAACAAGAGTTAGCATTTGCGAGAATCTGTCAAACTGATATAACTGGCAAGCAAAGCATTCTGCACGAAGCCATAATTTGTGTGTATTTACCTTACAATAACAGGTATATTAATTTTTTCTAAACTTTTAAAAAGTTTTTAAAAGTTTTAAAAACAAAAAGCAACCTGATATGATCTTTGACTCCCAGTTTTCCGTGCCAATGGCTTGAAACTGACCAAAAAAAAATCTACTCTGCTTTTCTTGCTCAAGAACAAGCTTATACTTGACCTCCTAGAAACGATACTGCTGGTCAACGCACTAACAGAAGCGGACCGGCCGGAACTGTCCGCCAGCCCCGGAGCCCAGAGCCAGGCGCGCGACCACACACACAGACAGGCCTGAGCGATCAATTCGCTGTCCATTTCCAAGAAGTTCGCAACGCAGATAGAATGATGCCCGGGACCCGGGCCGGGGACTTCAAACCGCCGAGGCTTCGCTTCCTACTGTCCCGGGAACTCAAAACTCAAGCCCTCTCCGTGCAGTCAAGGGGACAGGGAAAAGACAGGGAAAGGGCAAACGTTTTATAATCAGCCGGAAAAGTGGGGGAAAGGGACTTGACAAGTCCGCCCATCACTGACCCGGGGACAAAGTGCCAGTAGGGTCCCCCCCGCAGGGCTGCTGCTGCCGCTGCTCCTTCCCGGCGCGGTCGGGGCCACTAGCCCGGGCTGTCGGCGGGGCTGGGCGGGGCGGGCGCCCGCAGACCCCGGGCGCCGCCGGCGCCGCCGCCGCGGACAACCTCACCCCGTCCCGGGCGCCGCCGTCCCGCTGACGTCCGCGGGCGGCAGCCGCACAATGACAGCGACCCGCCGGGGGGCCCCCGGGGGCCCCGTTGCGAACGGCGGCAGCGCAGCCGCCCCGGCCCGAGCCCGCCCCGGGTGGGGTGGGGGGGGGGCCGACAGGCCCGGGGGTGGAGGAGGGGTCACGCCGCGAGCTCGGGAACAGTGCTCGGGGACACTGGGTAATAAGAGAGCATGTGTGGGGGGGGGGGCTCTTTCGGGGCTCCTTGCGGAGTGACCACAAGCCGACACCCCAAGCGAGGAGGCCGAGAGGCTCCCGGGACCCTCCGGCTGCGGGAACAGCTGCTCCCGCGGCGGCAGCACCCACCGCCGCCGAGCGCACGGGAGCCCTGCAGGCCCCGCCGGCCACTCCCGGCACTCCCCCCACCCCCGGCTCGGCTCAGGGACTACTTCGTTTACCTCTCTGCGCGGAGGCGAACGAGGAGGTGAAGAGCCGCGCGGCCGCCGCGCCGCAAGTACAAGCGCCGCAGCCGGACATGTCCGCGCGGGACCAGGCTGGGCTCCGCGTCCCTGCTGCCCGCCGCGCCGACTGCCGGCCTCGCGGGGCGCGCTGACCGCTCCGGACTTCCCCCCTCCTCCCGCCGGCCCCGGGTCGCGAGAGTCCCACCACACACTCCTACGGCCAGGCCTCGGCGGTGGCGCTCCCGGGGGCCCGCGGCCGTCTAAGTAGACACTAACCCTCTCCTCCCTCCCCCTCCCGCCGCTCCTCCCCCCATTCCCCCCGCCCACCGGGCCCGCGGAGCGTGCGCGCGCGCCTGCGTCCTAGGCCCGGGAGGGGGCGCGTGAGCGCACGGAGCGCGTGCGTGCGCGTGCGCCGACGTGCGGGAGGAGGGGCGGTCCCCTGGAGCACCAATGAGCGCGCGAAGGCGGGCGCCGCGCCCAATCAGGGCAGGCTACCAGCCCAGGGTTTCCCCCCTCCCCCCCTCACGCGCTGCTCCGGAAGTGCCCGGCTCCGGACGCGGAAGCCTCCCGCCTGCGGGGCGAGATGCATGCCGGGAGTCGTAGTCCGCTGAGCGCCTGTCAAGGCTCGCGGCTTCCGCTCAGCCAGCCGCAAGGAAGGTCAAAGTGAGGCGGCTCCTCGTAGACTGGCCAGCCCAGGAGAAGTTTGTGTTTGTTTATTTATGTAGGTTTGTTTGGGGGCCAACCCCCAGCGATACTTCGGGGTTTCCTCCTAGTTCTGCACTCCGGGATCACTCTTGGCGGTGCTTGGGGACCTTATGGGGTGCCGGGGATCTCCCCCGCTGTAATTGTCTCCCCGGCCCCCAGGGTCAGTTTTTTAAAAGGCGTTTAGACCACAGCACCCAAAAGGAGAGACAGAACAAAAGGGAATGCCCTGCCACAGAAGGTGGGATGGGGGGATGGGGAGGTGGGAGGAATACTGGGATCAGTGGTAGTTGACGATGGGCACTGGTGGAGGGATGGGTACTTGATCATTGTACAACTGAAACCCAAGCACAAAAATTTGTAAGTCTACAACTGTACCTCATGGTGTTTCACTAATAAAAATTAGAAAATAAATAAATAAATAAAAGGCGGTTAGATTAAGTCCCTTCCTCTGGGAACCCCGGTGTCCTGTTCCATATAGCTTCCCCTGGAGCGTGAACGTGTTACTTTCCCACCTGGGGGCCCCAGCACCCAGCTGTCGTGGGTGACAGTTCTCTCCTGCTCTTTGACACCCACCTGGTGGCGATTCGCCGCCAGCTGGGTGCCCGCCAGCTGGTGCCCGACTGGGTGCTAAGCCCCATGGGTGCTAAACTGGGACCTTAGCACCCAGTTTAAAGCCCTTGGACGGCGCCCTGCGATCGCGCCGCGCGCTGGGGAACACGCAGCCCGACACTGCGGTCGGGACCGGAGGGAACGGCCGGACAAGGTGCGGGGTGAGGACGAGCGAGTCGCGCCGCGGGTGGGGGGGATGGCGCGACGACGACAGGATTGTCAACGCCGACGCCCAGGTGGATCCACGGGGCGCGGCCAAGTTCATGTGATCCCGCCCTGTCCGGCCGGGGAGCGGCGAAAAAAAGCTGGGTCGCAGGCGGCTGCTGCGGGCTCCGTTCACCCGGGAAGGACACTGGCCTTGGCTCGGTCCACGCGTGCCTTTCCCTCCCCCCGACTTAAAGTGGCAGATCCCAAAGCGGCCGATTCCGCGTCGAGCTCAGCTGCCACCTAAGTTTATATAGTTTGGACAGGAGAAACTGGAAAGTTCCTCGGTCCTTTGTGGTGGTTTTGTTTTGTTTTGTTTTGTTTTGTTTCCAGAAGCAGAGTTGTAGAGGGAGGGGGAGGCTGGAGCTTAGACCCTTGTATCCACCCACCAACGTCACTCTAAAGTCAAACAGAGCAAGCGTGGTTTCTACCCTTTTTGCTTATTGGGGTTTGGTCTGAAAGTAAATTTCTGTTTTAAAGCAGTGTTTGAAAACCATCTAATCTAAGAAGAAAAATAATAATGATCTCTTTACAAATGAATAAAGCATGGACCTTAGTACCCAGTTTAAATTTCTTTGAACCCATCTTCTGTTACCAATTATATGCACATTTTTTTCTTAGAGAAATTAAGAAACTGCTGAAATCTTAAAATTAGGTATTAAACAAGCTGAAATAAATAGAGGTGTAATTCTGTTTAAAAAAATAAAAATCAAAGCTGGAGGGTAAGGTCTGTGCTATGAGATATTCCCTCGATTGTAGGGACTTCTCTTGCTTTCATTCTTTCAACAAATCAGTTGAGCACAACTTACACACAGGCCATGGTAAAAGCAGTGAACCATTTTTTAAAAGTTTCTCTTTTTAGTGTTCTGTAGTGGGAAAGAGAAGACAATATGTAGTGCCAGAGCAATAGTTCAGAGTGTAGGATGTTTGCCTTGCAGGTAGCCGACCAGGGTTCCACCTCCAGCATCCCATATGGTCCCCTCAGCACCACGAGGCAAAATTTCTGAGTTGCAAATTACCAGTAACCCTTGAGCACCGCCAGGTGTAGGTCCCCCATGGGAATATCATATTAAATTGTTACATCGCTGTGTTGGGCTGGAGCGATAGCACAGCGGGTAGGGCATCTGCCTTGCATACAGCCAACATGGTTGACCCGAGTTCGATTCCTCTGCCCCTCTCGGAGAGCCCGGCAAGCTACCGAGAGTATCTCACCCGCACGGCAGAGCCTGGCAAGCTCTTCATGGTGTATTTGATATACCAAACACAGTAACGACAAAGTCTCACAATGGAGACGTTACTGGGCCCGCTTGAGAAAAACTGATGAACAATGGGAGGGCAGTGGACAGTGATCACTGTGTTATTCCCAAGACAGTTGAACATTTAATTTTATTTTTGGATTGACGTTTTGTGTGTCTAGCCTTGTATTTCCAATTGGACTATGAGCTTTGAAGGCAGCTTTTCATTACAGACGTATGCTGCATACATAGTAGAAATTCAATAAATACTTGATTAAGTAGATATCTTCCAAAAATACTTAGGCTTGAAATTTGGGGTAGTGTCTTCAGAAAATCATATATTCAATCAGAACAAGTTATAACTGACCAGTGATTATTAATAGACATAGATGCTACAGACTCATATGGTAGTTCATCTGAGTGGCCTAAAAGAATTCCCCACGAGATGCCTCATTAGCAACTGGTAGACTTTGCCCTAGAATGACAAAATAAAAGGAACAGTACACAACTCGGTTTAACTTTTTTTCTCTGCAATGTGGACAAGGGTTATGTGGTTTTGGCATTTGGTTTGTAGTGATTTCATCACAGGGCAACATGAATCTGGCAACTTTAATTCACTGCCTTACAAGCTATGCTCTGTAGATCAAAATGTACCTTAATTATTAGGCTCAGCAACATGACAGGCCTGGATGAGGACACTCATTTTGTACTAGACTCTCTGATGGTGTGACTCAGTGGTGTTCAAAGTGAAGAACTTGAACCACTGGGATCTACCACAAATTACAAATTGGTCATTTGGGCATGGACTGGAGTTGAGTTTAATTTTTTTTAATTGTCTCTAAATGCCAAAGATCACCATAAAGGGCTCAAGTGTAAAATATTCTATAAGAACCACTTGGCTGTTTGTCAAAGGAACGTTTTACATGTAGACATTCACTGATGTGTAATTCACAGGTTGGGACAGGGCCCACACTCCAGGGTGTGGCCAGGTAACTGTGAGGGAGAACAGAGCAAGGAGGAATGGGACTTGAGAAATATGCCTGGACCCTTTTCTGATCTTGGTTCTCTATGAATCACTTCTGGTCAGTGTTCAATCAGACCACTCCCTCAAGTTCTGGCTTTGGAAGTTACGAGCCATGTTTCCTGCGATAAAGTGGTTCATCTATCAGCAAAACAATGGCAAATATGTGACTGGCTCTTTGTTTTATGGGGAAAGGTACACCCAGAAGTGCTTGGTGGGACCAGGGAGGTACCAGGGATCAAGAATGGAAACACAACATGGATCTTCTGCATGCAAAGCCTGTGTGCTTCAGCTCTCTGAGCTATCTCTCCAGCCCCCTTTCAGCTCTATGGTACTAAATACTTCAGCTTCGCATATGGGATACCCACGCTTGATCCTTAGGATCACCTGATCCCCCAAACTACTTTAGATATGGTCCCCAAAACAAATTAATTCAATGTTTTCATAGGACACCTTTCAACTCTTTTTTGATAGGTTAATTATGTTTTTGCCTCAGGATGACTTTAGGTTGACCTTGCGACCACTCACTACTTTAGGACTAGCCGAAAGGGCTAGAGCGATAGCACAGCGGTAGGGCGTTTGCCTTGCATGCAGCCAACATGGCCGACCTGAGTTCGATTCCTCCGCCCCTCTCAGAGAGCCCGGCAAGCTACCGAGAGTATCTCGCCCGCACGGCAGAGCCTGGCAAGCTCCCCGTGACGTATTCAATGTGCCAGACACAGTAACAACAAAGTCTCCAATGGAGACGTTACTGGTCCCGCTCGAGCAAATCGATGAACAACGGGTGGACCGTGACCGTGACCGTGAATTATGTTTTAAAAAGGAAGTCAACACGGGTATGGTGCCGCCAGCAGGTCAATCTGTACTTGTGAGGTGAGTGCATCAGCAGCCTGATGGCGCCTTCAGAATTCCAGATACCCCAAAATTGCTGCTGTGCCTTTGGCCAGACCCCAAAAACTTGGGGCCATGTTTACCAAGAAAGTAAACGACTAAAAGTTAGATATGTGGAAGACACACCCACAAACCACCTCAGGCTCAGCTATATAATTGGAGGCATGTCCCCTCTGGTTCCTGATCAAACTGCTTAACGGCCATGATCCCAGAGACTCAGAAACAAATCTTGAAACCCAACGGCTTTTGACAGAAACGTGTCCGGTCCCGGCAATAGGTTACCGGCGCTGGACCAACCCAGGTGGAATAGGTTTCACACCTTGGCCTGTTCCCCCTGGCGGCCCAGTGGCCACCATCCTCCAGAGGCCACTGGACAGTCAGGTTGGGCCCTCAGTGACAAGACACGTGGGGCCTCACAGGATGGGGGTGGAGCCGGCCCTTTCCTCCTCGTCCCAACGAGACCGTGAGTTGCTGCCCATGAACGGCCTTTCTGGTTCCTGATCAAACTGATTAACGGCCATGATCCCAGAGACTCAGGAACAAATCTCGGAACCCAGCAGGTTTTGGC